ATATACATATATACATTATACCTAGCCAGTTTCACGCGTACATATCCCGGGAATCGATGTACAATTTATCAGTTAATCAGGCAGTTATTCAGTCAGTGAGTCAGTGAGTCAGTCAGTCAGCCAGTCAGTCAGTCAGCCAGTCAGTTAGTCAGTCAGTCGGTCAGTCAGTCGGTCATTCAGTCAGTCGTGTATTCATGTTAATATTTATACTTATTCACGACAGGAAATGCGTTTTTAAAGCAACGTGCTACTACTAATACTGCTGCTACTGCTGCTGCTGCTGCTGCTGCTGCTGCTGTTGCTGCTGCTGTTGCTGCTGCTGCTGCTGCTGTTGCTGCTGCTGCTGCTGCTGTTGCTGCTGCTGCTGCTGCTGCTAGCGCAGCACTTGCAATTACGAAGCCACGCGAAACTGTACGCACAAGTCGCTCTCTCTCTCTCTATCTCTCTATCTCTCGTTCGTTTCCTTTGTACATATTGATCCCGCGAGGCTGCACTTGGCTGTCCGCATTGAAGGCCGAGTGAAGATGGTATCGCATTGTGATATGAAGCGAAGCCGTATCAATACTGCCGTCTGTCGTTGTCCTCACGGGCGTGTGTGACTGAGCAAGGACCACATGTTATGATTCCAAATCTGATTTACCCGAAGCCCGATGGATGGTGAAGATCGCGTACGCTTAATAAATCGATACGTTCTCTCACAGAAAGCGATGGCGCCCAGCAATCGTGTCTCGATGCGTCATACTATTTATCGTAGAAGCAGTACAGTAATGTGTCACTTGCCATCGCTTCTTGTGCTGCGGTTCGACACAAACACGCGAGCGCGATTTTATATAGTTTTGTGAAAGGCTAGAATTGTGTGCGACTGTAGAAAGGAAACTTTACCTTCTCATTTCCTTGTTTGAACATCGGCCAAGGACGAAGAGTGTTGACTGTTTTGAGGAATATGTTGTCCTGAAAGTATACTCACCCGAGAAACGATGTCGATGTGTCTAACGAATGAAATGAGTGTCAAATGTGAACGATGTCAATGGTGCTTAGGTCATTATAGATTACGACTTGTTATATAAATGCACGGGTGTCACGTTACTGAGTAGTAGTAGTAGCCACACAGCGCATTCTTCTTTGAGGTAACGGAAGATAATGTGCATTATGAGAAACGCTAGACGGCATTGTATTGCTGTATTTAAGCGAAAGACGTTTATTTTAAACGGCGAGCGAGAAGATTTGTGAATTATGGCTATTGTTAGATTGAGGGATTCCCGTATGAAAATTTAAAACCAGAATTTTCAGTTATAGTATGTTCTGTACCGTGCATTGCGTGAAACGGGGTGAATGTGACAGTTAGCACTACGTAATTACAAACTCGTTTTGGAATGAGTTTTTAAATATCATGCATTTCTACGAAAACCTGGAATAAGAAAAGTGTGGTACTTTAGTTCGTTCCCTGTTTTACGATTTACCGTGATTATGCTTAAGTAGAATGAGGTAATAAACATGTTTATTACAATATAAAATTTCCTGTCTACCTGTCATATATATTTGATGTATATATTTGACGCATCACGATATATACTTCCATGCAATTGCAAACATTCGTCGACTCGTATACCATAATGAACCCCCTCCCCGATGGAAATATAGCAAACTTTCGTTAACAAACGACGCAATATCAATCATAAAATCAATATAAAGACGAAGATCTCGCTTCCGTGCCTAGATCTCATTGTTTCAACGGCTTCTCTATCGTTTCTGCTTCCCTGACGCATCGCCCATCATCCCATGGCAAAGCATGGCTGCATTACCAGGCCCTATACCTCCCCTGCTTATACATATAGCATGCGTACACACGTTACTATACAACTATATAAAAACATACTACTACATAACCATTCGTTTACTATATAGCTATCATTCTAATGTGACACCTATGTGAGCACGGTAAGAGCTCCTTGTATGGGAAGCGTACCACACGCAGCACGCGTAGTGAGTATAGTCACTATGCGAGCCACGCCCAGGAAAACAATCTCGCGCGAGCTGACAAGTGAGAGAGGCTTTTGACAGCGAAACATGGAACCGAGAGCGGCGCTCGCCGTAGTTCTGCCCTTACTGCTACTACTACTGCTGCTGCAATGTTCATCTGTGTCTCAGGCAAAGACTGCGTGCGTAGACGTCAACAACAACGCAGTCGACTGGTATAGTACACCAACGTTTCTCACTTTCCGCGTGTTCGGGCGTAGATGTATGCTATAGTCTGAGAGCGGAGTTATGTGCCCCACTTTCATCGCTGCACTGCTTTCCGTTGTAGGTATAGCTCCAAGAAACGGTCATACGTGGAAAGACCGTGGGTATTAACGTTAGGCTCGCAGCTCGGATGAGTTAGTTGTAGGGAAGATGGTCTACATGTCTAACAATAGTTTATATACATACATATTATGTGCTAGATACAATAATGTAACCCAAACACAGGATAGGTGTGGGGTTACATCCTGATCCTATCCTAGCTGTGTTTGGTTTACATTATTGTATCTAACATATGTGCGTGTACAGAAGGGACGAAGATCAAATTGTCTTTGTTGTCATACAATATACTCATTCCTGGTACGACTGATGTCTTAAATTGGCCCTGTAACGGAACCCAACTCAGTTGACACTGGCCAGGCACCTAGACTAGATAGAACGCGTGTAACTGGCATAACCATAAACAATCTGCACGCGTTTGCTGCAGTGCTACGAGGTTTTACGTCTTACGCTGTTGCTCTGCCTGCGTTCCTTCAAATCAGCCCGAGGCCCTCAGTCTCCGTCGTAACAAAGCCGGCTAGCAGATGCGGCATCTTAGACGGGAACCGTAGTCGTTTGTATGCGCTGCTATAGCAAGCTGTAGGCGCGAGTGGGATAATGTCTCGGACATCTATCCACACTATTTCTGACGGTAGCTCAAGTAAAACGCCGGGTGGTTATAGGTCTTATGTTAGCTTTAATATTTTAGCCGGGCTGCCTCTTCATAATGCCCTTACTGCACGCAAAAAACGCAACCGTGCCCAGTAGTACATAGAAATAGATAATGAATATTAAAAAATAGGTTTCCTATTAATTTCTAATCAGCAGCAGCTATTACATGGGAGAGCAGTCGCTTCCCATTCGGTTAAGGGTTATCACGGATGTAAATGCTACGGGTCAAGGTGAGGTCAACGCTAGCGCGCGATTTGCGCCGTTAATAGTTTGCCAGTTCGTGGCGCCATCTAGCGGCCTCGCATTCGTTGTAAAAAATGCAGCCGGCTCACTTTCTTGGTTTATCATGTTGTGAAGCTGCCTGTGACCAACACAGTAAGGATGCAGGCTTCGCTGCCGTCGTGGACGGGACATGGACGCCAACGTACCGAAGTGCGCAAATACGGTCAAGCTCCCTCACGACTCGCGGACAAACCCAGTCGGCTTACTCTTCCAGCAGTTACAAAGCAATGCAAAATCGCAGGTGAATTTGAGACGTTAATAATATTTTTATGATAAATAAACCCATGTGAGTAATTCATAGCCACAATAAATCCCGTGGTCGACCTGTTAGCCGACACGTTAGCGGAGAAGTAAAAGTTAATCGCGGATTTTGCGGCGAAATGAATTTTACTCATAATATTGTCGTGGAAGCTCTGATGAACAATGCTTTCAGATATTTACGGAGATTAAATTGTTGAGTAGATCGGTTGCAGGCAGTGTGGCTTCTTCGGAGTCAGAAGGGTTTCGCAGCACAAACTTTTAATAATATTGTAAGCTGTGACTGAAACATTCTGTTCTGGTGGACAGGCTAACTTCTTGAGCTTTCACAGTCTATATATTTTAGGTGGCGCAAAAGACCTTCTCTTCTATAGCCCGTTCACACGTAGCAAGAAATCCGCGTATTTAGCGCTTCACAGCGAGGCAAAATGCGCGTGCTAAGAATGACGGTATCTGAAACAGGAGTCGAGAGGTTATTTGACTGTAAAATACGCGGGCTTCACCAAGGACCCCGAATAATTTGCTGTGCTTGAGATAAATACCGGATCTCTGGGTGGAGCCGCATTTCCCTCTGTGTGAACGCGATTTCTTGAAGCCGCGTAATTTTATAGACTGGTCCACGCTCGACAGTTCCAGTGTAACGCGAGTGGAACTGTCGAGCGCGGACCAGTCTACGTATTTTATCGGCAGTTGGTGCGCATTGCATTGTTTATTTCGCACTAAAGCAGCTCGCAGCTCGCAAATACGGCATTTCTGGAGCCGCGAATCAGCGTGTGAACGCTCAGCCGCGTATTTTGTCTCAGATTCGGTATTTCGCAAATACCGTATTTCATAAATACGAGGTCTCGTGTAAACGAGGCTTATGTCAAATTTCCTTTCGTTGTTTTTTTAGGATTTCATGCACATCCTGTACAATGATGAATTGCCTGAGGGACCAACAACCGAACATTACGGACACACAAAAGGTGATACGAGTGCACGCATAAACATTATTCAGGCGCGGATTTAGGCCGGTTTGCACCGGTTTCCAGAAACCGGTCACAGGCTGGGTATCTTCAGAATTGACCCTCAAAATTCACCAGAATGCACCAAATATAGCTTTATTTTTTTTAAATTCCCGGGGGGGCATGCCCCCGGACCCCCCTAGCTGTCACTATAACTATGGAAACTGGTCACCCAAACCCTCTGGATCCGCCCCTGCTATTGATATATCTATCTAAATGAAATGACCATGCCCCTTGGATACCTATTGCTAGGTCGGTCAAGCTAGAACAATTTATACGTTTTCCACGCGTCCATGCCAAATTGTTGACTTTGCGGCACTTCGTTGCTAAGCATTGTCGTTTAGAACGTCCTATCACAGTGTTGGTTGGCTAGACCTACCTGTCACTCACTCCAGGATAGGTCAATTGATACGGAAGACACAATAAGGAAAATTAACCAAATAGATCAAATTGTACATTTTGTACCAGGGGATGATATTTCAGCATCTACTTAGCATCTAATATCACACGGATATCAAACTCAGACGATGACATACTGGATGGACGCATTGCCCTATTTCCACTTCGTGTTCTTCCGCAGGTTTTCTCGGGTTCGACCGAGACTCCGGCTTCTGGCTGGTGCACAGCACGCCAAAGTTTCCCGGCTACACGAACGCCACCTACTACTGGCCGCACAACGGGCGGCGTAACGGGCAGAGCTTCCTCTGTGTCACATACGCTTACAGCACCCTCGGCGAAATCGGCAAGCACACTCGCTAAGTGATGTCATTAGAGAGAGAGATAGATAGATAGAGAGATAGAGAGAGAGAGATAGAGAGAGATATATAGAGAGACACAGCGAGAGAGAAGAGGAAGATGAGAAGAGAGAAGAGGGAGATGAGAAGAGAGACAGAGGGGGAAAGAGACAGAGCGAGAGAGAGAAGATGGAGAGAAGAGAGGGGAAAAGAGACAGAGAGACAGAGAGAGCAAGAGAGAAGAGGGAGATGAGAAGAGAGATAGAAGGGATAAGAGACAGAGAGCGAGAAAGGGAGAAAGAGACAGAGAGAAGGGGAAAAGAGACAGCGAGATGGGGAAAAGAAACAAAGAGAGAGAGAGAGAGTGAGAGAGAGAGAGACAAAGAGAGAGCGAAACAGCGAGAGAAAGAGAGAGAGAGTGTGTGTGTGTGTGTGTGTGTGTGTGTGAGACAGAGAGAAAGAGAGAGGGCGAAAAAAAGAGAAACAGAAAAACAGAGAAACAGACAGAGACCGAAATCGTCGTCATTTTTCCGTTGCACGGTTTCAGCGACCCGCCAGCTGCTCTAAACCTACCCCGTGGTGTACGACAGCAAGGCGCGGCTTCTGTTCGCGCGGGACCACCCGCCGCTGCGCCGGGCGTCGCTGCCGGGAGAGCAGCATCCGAAGGAGGCCGGGCCATGGAACCCGCAGCTGCCGCCTCGGCCTCGCTCCGACTGCCAGCCGCCCCCTGAGCGAACCTTTGTCACTCTCCGCAAAGGCCTCCAAGTACGACGCAGGTGAGTCGGCGTTGAGGTGAACGATTGTCGCACGGTTGTGGTCCGTGCCAGGTCTCTTCTAGCTCGCACGGTCACAGCTACTGGTGGTTTGACTTATGGAATCGCAGCCCGTAGTGCTAAACCAGGCCTCCTCTACTCCCACAGTCGCACAGCTTACCCATGGGATTAGAACATGAGAATCACCACACCTTTGTAGTCCTGACCCAGGCCCTTCTCTACTCCCCAGTCACAGCTACCATGGGGTAGAATGCTAGAATCACACCTTGTAGACCTGACCCAGGCCTTCTATACCCCCATGGGTACAGCTAACGTGGGGTAGAATGCTAGAATCACACCTTGTAGACCTGACCCAGGCCTTCTATACCCCCATGGGTACAGCTAACGTGGGGTAGAATGCTAGATCACACCTTGTGACCCGACCCAGGCCTTTCTAACCCCATGGGTACGCTAACGTGGGGTACCCGAATTGCAGAATCACACTGTAAGTCCTTGACCCAGTGCCTTCTCATACCCCATCTGGGTACAGCTAACCGTGCGGGTATGCACTAGATATCACAACCCTTGTAGACCCCGACCCAGGCCTTCTATAGCCCGCAGCATTGGGTACCAGCTAACGTGGGGTAGTTAGATGCTAGAATCAACACCTTGTACGTCGCTGACCCAGGCCGTTCTGATACTCCCATGGCGAAAACAGCTAAAGCGTGTGGGGTAGGTAAATGCTAGAATCCACACCTTGTAGACCCGACACCAGGCCCTTCTATACCCCCGATGGGGTACCACGCTAACGGAGGATGTCGAAGACAGATTTGCTACTCCCCACAGTCAGAGCTACCGGGTTATATGGAGAGTCAGAGCAACGCTACACTCTTTGCTGCTGATCTGCAGTGTCTCTCTCTCAGCCTACATACACATTATGCCGTTCACGAGGTTTGAAGCTCCTTCCCGATTCTTTTCCTATGTATTTTTCCATACGTATTTTTTTGTTATGTTTTTTCCGTTTGCATCATCCACTTCTCGTCTGTATTTCCTCGCACCGCTCTCTGTCACCATCTTTCGCAAGTATCATCTACAGCGGATCGTCCGACTGGATGGCGTCCGCGTCCGTTCGGCGTCTCCTGTGTGCTCTATTTTCGCCGAGGAACGTGCAGAACCACGGCGCCGGCAAGCTGGCGAGGCTCGTGTGCGCCCCCTACCGCGCGAGAACCGTGGGCAGGACGGTCAACCTGAGCCGGTCGCCGGCGGTCGAGCCTTCCGACGAGACTCGCCGACCAGTCGAAGTGGGCGGCGACGGCGGCGGCGGCGGCGGCCGCGGGCGGAGTGGGCGCTGCCTACGCACCGACGGAATCGCAGGAACGGCACCAGCGGGTGCGCGGCGGCGGCGCCGTGTGCACGCGGGACGCGCGCGTGTGGGCGGCGTTCGCACACCTCGTCGGACGCGTCGAGAAGTGTCGCGGGAAGGCGGCGGCGGCGGGTGTTTTTTTTCGCGACTAGGGCACGCGTCTGTCTGCGTCTGCCTCCCCCGCAGAGAGAGAGAGACTGTCAGAGGTAGTTTTATGAGGAGCGTGTGCGCTTACGGCATTTAGCACAGCTACGATGCACGTATCTGCGTTTGCTTCTCCCGGACAGACAGCACTGTTAGAGATAGTTCCATGATGTGTGTGTGTGTGTGTGTATGCTTACAGCATTTACTACACCTAGGGTACACATGTCTGCTTCACCTGCCTTCTGACAGGCAACACTGTTATTAAAAAGTAAGATAATTACATCTTATTGTCTAATAACATTGTATCATTATAATGTAACATTGTATGACAAACTAATTATCTACTATGGTGGCAGCAACAGCATAATCCTTATCCTCCCATTATACGACAGGACAGGTATTATGCTCGCTTGATTATAAATAAAAAATTACTACACTAGATTATATTGCTGTTATTAAGCTGACATTGTAAGCTAATATATCACTTGATTTACATTAGAATTTAATAGGGTTGTGGTTGTAAATATAAAGGAGCTGTCACATTACCTTCATATTTTAATTATGCAACTGGCCTGGAGATAAATGTAAAAAGAAGGCAAATGTAACATATAAAATTTAATGATGAAAACAATCCACATTCATAGAAAACAATAGATTCTCTCGGTTATAACGTTAGTTGCCAATAGACGTTCTACGTATAAACTTACACGTTCGCAATTCATTTTGTACGCACGTGCCAGAAGCTGCAAGTTTAAACTACATATAGAACCTCAGCTTATTCTCACTATCTCTTTTAGAGCATACCTATCGTATAGGTTGCAATAGGCTATTATAGATTTCATCATGGTTTCTTGAAATAAATCACATCACTCGGGGATAAAAAAAAAACGTCTATACGCTACTTCACATAATTTAATTTGTCTAACTATTACCTCGTGGATGCTAGCAACACAGTGTGATAATGCCATTACAGGACCTAGCGTAGATTCATATTTCAGTATCCATCATCTGAACAGGTAATATTGTATTCCGGGTATTTCTTCTTCAAGATTTCCACTGATATTTCATGATCTGCCTTCCCATATCCCTACAGCAAAAAAAGATAGACGAATGGATACTGCACACGTATTACGAACAGACATGAAAATGAATTATTGAATGTACTACCTAATCAAACTTACTCACTTACTGCTTACTCACTGTAACTTTTACTACATCAAATCTAGACCTTTATAACAAGTTTCGCTCTGTGACACGTGACCCTCAGTTAATGCTTCATGCCATGTTTGTGTAGCGGAAACACTGAGAATGTTGCCAAGTAGCCACAACAAGGTCAATACCGTCGAGTGTCCGTAAACTTTGAGAGTCTTGGCGGTGGGATCGTGCTCAATCCTTCCTCCACCCGTGCAGAACACATCAAGTCCTGCCTTCCTGATTCCAGGCTCCACCTCCTCCAAGACATCACCTTACCAAGGCAAAGCTATGTGTTACACATACGAAACTCTAATGAGGTCATAGTCCTCATAAATGCACTAACCTAGGATGATGGCGCAGGGGGAGGAGACAAAATATCTCAAGTTGGTTCTACATCAACAGTAACCCATGCTTGGTGTGAATGCATCCAGCATAGTCTCTTTTCTCACACATTGTGAGGAGAGAGAGACATTGTGGGTAAAATCACTGGGGGTAAGATGCCGACATGAAAAAAACCACCATTTCGCAAAATGCTACGAGGAAATGCAACAACAAATTAATTGTTCGTCACACCATGATTGGCATTGAACTTCAATGGGCATACCTACCATGGTATCCTGCTCGCAAATATCCTCTAACAATGTACTTAAAGTTCTTCAGATCATCGTCTTTGAACACCTTGACGAGGATGTACTTGAATCGCCCCTTAGGATCAATGTCAACGTCTGCTACGGCGTCAAAACTCATTTTAGCCCTCGAGACCAAGGAGCGAACAAATGAGCGAGCCAGGTCTGTTAGCTAGCCTGCAGACCTGGAACATAGATTTTAACATTTTTTTTAGATTCATCACTCACAAATACAAGAGTTACTTTACACGAAACCAAGTATTATGTTGATTATTCAACAATAGCCCAAAGTGCACAGGAACTTTAACAGACAGATAATGAAGTTCGGTACATAATTAATGTTTTATTATTATAAATATTGTAATACACAAATTCTGGCTCATTATAAGGGTGATATAGATTTCTTACACTCAGAATAGAGGAGGCAAACATCTACTGGGAGTACATCGTGGAATATTCAAGTGATGTTTTAACACGTTACACAGTTGTGTAAACTACCACATCTGAGTAATAAAGCCTGCAGGTTTAAGGCAAGAGGCTATTGTCTAGCTCAACCTGTTTATCCTGTTCACTCCCACTCCTGGTACAGGAACAAGACTTAAAAGGCTATATCCAGTGTTTATAAACAGGTGGAACTACAGGTACAGGTATAGGAAGATGTAGAGCTACAGGTAAAAGTACAGGTAGAGGTATAGGTAGAAGTACAGGTAGAGGTATAGGTAGATGTAGAGCTACAGGTAGAGGTATAGGTAGATGTAGAGCTACAGGTAGAGGTATAGGTAGATGTAGAGCTACATGGAGAATTACAGGTAGATGTAGAGCTACAGGTAGAGGTACAGGCAGGAGCAAAGGGACTACACACGTAGAGAAACTATTGATGAAGCCATGTACTATGTAGTGTTTAATAAATACAAGCGTCACTCAGTTGTAACTGCATGAACTACTGTGTCTGAGATAGGGTTAGGATCATTAGCAGGTTACTTTGAGACTTAGTATATAGCGTGAAAGACTACATATGGTCTAATTTGTAGCAATGCAACAGGTTTTTGACGGGTACGTGTTCAGCAAAGAAGAAGGACTCAAGCACAGGCACTTGGAACGTCTCAATAAAAATTAAAGAAAGTAAATAAATACGAAATGTATTTACTACCAAACCGGGAAGTCTTAACGTTTCTCTACTCTATTTCGCCTATAATCACCTGTAAATGCCGGTCATATGCTCATCTGCAACACACAAGTACACCGCACGCTAGCTGCTGCACACTGACATATAAATATATAGTGTATTAATAGTTTAATACTATATTATATGTATATGTATACTATATATTTAATTTATGTGTCAGTGTGCAGCAGTTAGCGTGCGGTGTACTTGTGAGTTGCAGATGAGCATTTGACCGGCATTTACATGTGATTATAGGCGAAATAGAGTAGAGAAACATTAAGACTTTGGTAGTAAATACATTTCGTGTTTGGCTTCTTCTTTTTTTATTGAGACGTTCCAAGTGCCTGTGGCTGTACCTGTGGACTCAAGGACCGTGACGGTGAAGTGAGTTCATGATATCAGATTACAGATATGCCGACAGTGAATCAAGATTAGTACGCTGTTTTATTTTCACGCGTTAAATAATACAACTTGACAACACACCGCTTAAAAGATGGGCCAGTAATAAATTGTCTCAGATCATACAGTTTCCTGCAGCAAAACAGTGGTTGAACAGTTGGAAAGTTTCAGCAGTGTGTTGACAGCAAAATCTTTGGTTGACAGAATCACTCTGCCACGGACTGCGCGCCATCTACGTGAAGTATTCCTTATCATTTAGGTCGTTACGGCGGCAAAAGGGCAAAAGTCCATTCCTTATATTGCAATATATGCCCTACATTGTGCACTGTTTTAACAGTAGTATCATTTACTTCACTTATCATCCTAATGCAAACCTTAATGAAATATCAATGTAAATACATATACTAAAGACTGATCTAGTAAAGACTGGAATGCATTCCTATCCGCGTCTTTGGTTAAGCTAACATGTCTGCGCACAATCAGACTTGTTGTTTTAGTCCATTTTAGTCGCAATATTATTCATTATTGTATAAATCGGCAATCACTGTGTTATTATAGCCTATTTAGGGTTCAATCGTTGGATAAGAGTATTGCATACGCATTGGGGAGTTTATGCTAGCACTGTCAAAACATGGAACAACAGACTAACGTTGACTGTTTGTTTTTTGGCTTTGAAATCAGCACCCAGCAGGCAAGTAAATACGAAGTGGCTACGCGTCTGGAACCGGTCGCCTAGCCTCCAGGCTACGCGTCCGGACATCCATCTCACACAGGAAGCTTGCGACACGTTCACGCATGATTGCGCAATGGGACGCTCTGGTGAGTGCCGTCTATCCTTTCATCCGTCCTCTCTCGCGCTCTCATACACACGCGCGCAGCTCTCTCTCTCTCACGCATACACACACATACACATTCCCATTCCCCCCCTCTCTCTCTCTCTCTCTCTCTCTCTCTCTCTCTCTCTCTCTCTCTCTCGTCTCTCTCTCTTCTCTCTCTCTCTTGCTCTCTCTCTCTCTCTCTCTCTCTCTCCTCTCTCCTCTCTTCTCCTCGCTCTTCTCTCGTCTTCTCTCTCTCTTTCTCTCTCTCTCTCTCTCTCTCCTGCATACATGCACACACACGTACACATTCCCATTCCCTCTCTCTCTCTCTCTCTCTCTCTCTCTCTCACACACACACACACACACACGGCAATCACCAGAGCGTCCCATTGCGCAATCATGCGTGTACGTGTCGCAAGCTTCCTGTGTGAGATGGATGTCCGGACGCGTAGCCTAGCGGCTCCTCGTCCGGAACCGGTCGCATAGCCACAGCCAAGTAAATATCATGGCTTTCTGTCTAAAATATGACTAGTGCCATAGCCAGCATGAACCATTCTGGATAGTATTAATGATAGCAGCTTCGAAATCTCGCTACTTTATAGTAGCTTGCTCTAAATTCTTCCAGACCACACCCAGCCGTCCCCGTACACATACCCGTACCCGTTACACGTACCCGTAGACATAATACGTCAGGATTCTTCAAGCTTTTTCATTATAGCATTGCGGGTGCTGCCTTTACGGTCCTATAGTTGCAAATCGCCGAAGGCGGTTTGCGTGCTAGGGGGTCCGGGGGCTATGATATTTAGCATGGCGGCTATGATATTTAGAGTGGCAGGTGAATTTTAGGATGGCGGGGCTCGACGATAGCCTGGCGGGCCGCCAGGCTATAAGTGCTCTTGGAGAACCCTGTACGGTAGTGTCTAAACGACCGGACCCGGTTTCGGAGGCCTGAAAACTAAACAACCGGCTCTCTTCTCTGATTGGTCAGTTTCCGAACATAACAGGACAATTTTTAATGCAAAACATAAAGAAATATATTTAATTCCGAACATAAACAAAAGTTACAGAACAAATAAATGAATAAAAAAAATAATGAAATACAAAGAAATACAGAAAGCAGAGGAAAATAAAAACATCTTATGGGGTTCGAACACGGTCGATCCCTTACTATCACGAAGCGAAAGCCTCTACCGTTGAGCAACTGAAACCAACTTGAAGGTTAGAGATATAGACCTTGACCCTAACCCTAACCATAATCCTAACCCTAACCCTAACCCTATCCCTAATTCTAAAATAAAATAAAATTAGCCAAAAATAATAAAAAATAAAATAGTGACAAAATTAGCCAATCAGAGAAGAGAGCCGGTTGTTTAGTTTTCAGGATACCGAAACCGGATCCGGTTGTTTAGACACTTCCTAATAATACACTATACAGTACATATAACAGGTTTAATAACAACTGGTTTAATAACAACAGGTTTTATAACAACTAACACATGTTTTCAGGTAAAGGTGATCATTGTTGACAATGAGCTGAATATTCAATACAAAGACACTATTCTGTTTGACACAGAGCTACCGGAATTCAGGTGATCAAGATCGACTTATTAATGCTCAAGGGGTCGTTGTCATATCAGGTACTACAGATATGTACCCGAGGTACATATATGTATACACAAAGTGTACCAGACCCTAACCCTAGCCCTAACCCTAACCCTAACCCTAACCCTAACCCTAACCCTAACCCTAACCCTAAACATACCTCATATAAAATATAAACATAATACGAAACAACCTAAAACTACCTCGGGTACATATCTGTAGTACCTGATACGACAACGACCCCATCTGCCTTATTAATTCATAAACAATTGGAGAGTGTAGCATGCAAATTGCAATGTGCAAATTAAGACAAAAACTCCATTAGACAGCATTATATAATTGGCACCATAAATAAATTATAGCTAACTGTTTTGTATTAGCTAGCAAGCCGTGGGTTCAAAGTCATTTTTGGGTGTCATTCGTGTTATTTCATCGTTGCATATATCATTTTTATAGTACCCACGCTGGTGTCCACATACACGATGATAGACTGACCGTTACAACACCAACTGCATTATGGGTGAAGGCCATCGATTTAGCTTTAACCAAGATGAAGCGGTCTGGGGTCGACTTTGCCAGGATTGCTGCAGTGTCTGGTACTGGGCAGGTATTGGTCATCGGATGTGTGTTTCTAAAACTTTCAATAATGAAACGGATTATTACACGTGGATACATTTCCCCCTGAGTATACCAGCTGATAAACTGGAGATTCCATTGTGTTTGCAGAAAGTTGAGCACGTGTTATTTTCTCTAGGTTTATGTAAAAAAAAATCTCATCAAATTTGAAAATTAGTTGCACATTCATAATTTTTGTTAATATTATAGCTGTTATATATTTGGAATTGAACCATACCTTTCAGCAACATGGAAGCGTCTACTGGGCGAAAGAAGCCAGGGCCACTCTGCAGAATCTTAAGGCTGAGAAAACATTGCATGATCAGCTGTCGGTATGTAGCATTGTCGTTGTTAGTTGTGGTGATTATACATGGCCAGAGAATGAAAGTATATATACTGAGTCTCTGTATCGGTATATAGAGAGAATATCCGATTGCCATGAAAACATCTAGGGTATGCGTATGTTTGGACGATAGAGATCGGTAATCAGTGGTTTATGCATACAAATCTCCTCGCCCATTGATTCGAGGAATGTGTGCGCACGCCTCATTTTGTCACAACCGCATATACCTCCTGCATGGTGCAATTGGAAAGTGGTAGTTTTTCTTGCAATTTTAGGCATCGTTTAGTATACCAGATTCACCACTATGGATGGACTCCAGTACAGACAAATGGTGCAGACGTTTAGAGAGCCAGCTAGGCGGTGCTCAGGTATCATCGATACATCGGTATTCTCGATACATTTTAGTAACGATCGTATGCATCAGCTCGACCATGTAATTGTGTATTCGTCGTTAAAATTTAAATATTGCACGTTGCATAGTTGACGTAGATTGTACTGCAAAATTGCCTGATATTCTTCAATGTGTTACTGGGACAAAATCTGGCATTGGGGCGCTCTCAGGCACTTTCAAATTTGGCCCAGGATCCCATCAACTGGTGATTGACAGGGACTTGCTTAATTAACGGGGTTGTTTTAATGATCAAGTTACAGCACATGTCAGTGCATTTTATAACACTTCAGAGGCACACACAAGTATCAATTATTGTTTTTGCATGTGTGCTTTACTGGTACTCACGTATATTCGTGGCATCTTTGTACGCCCGATCCCATTGCTTTAATCTGTTTACAGAGGTTAGCCTTCATCACCGGTAGCTCGGCACAGACACGACTGACTGGAAACCAGATTGCAAAGTTATACGAGACTGAATCGATGGGATTCAGCAATACCGAGGTGCGTGGGTTAGCTGACAATAACTGATTTGCGTGAGAGTAAAATGAGATTTTAAGTGTGTTGGTTATAAGAAATCGGATGTAACAGTCAAGTGTGATGAGTACATTTCTAAAACAGGAATCCATCCTAATTTTCATGATGATTTGATAGTAAATCACTATCCAAGCATGCACTACCTAGTGCTAAGCGAGCCGCCTTGAGGTAGACGTAACAATGACGATCAGAGAGAAGTTTCGTAACTGTATCGATGTCCCCCAAACAATACATTTGAAGTTTTGTGGGCGTGAGCTCTTGTAGGTGTTGCTGGAACATCATCGTGCTTCAGCAGCAGTCGTTTAATGTATTTGATGTATGTCTGCACCTGCGAATGATTGACATCCGTACTGACATCCCTCCACCGAACCGCACGGTCGACATAAACTGGGTCCCGCCGCAATTTTCGCAATTTTCTTTCTACCTCGCAGCGCATTTCCCTGGTGAGTAGCTTCGGAGCGTCGATCTTCCTCGGAGACTACGCGCCGATCGATTATTCGGACGGCTCGGGAATGAACCTGCTCGACATCTGGACGAAGAAGTGGAGCACAGAATGTCTGCAGGTGCGTGAGGCCCAGGCAGTCTTAAAGGCGCCTAATCTGCAGGGGCCGGTTTCACGAAGCGTAATTAAGTCCTTAATCATGATTAAATCACTAATCATGATTATAACCTCCCGTAATTAAATTGAAGTGAGTGTTTCATGAAGCGTAATTAACTTTAATCATGATTAAGTTAATCTCAATATTTAATTCTACTCAGGAGCATGATTAAATCCACTAATCATAATTAGTTGCTAGTACTAGTAGTAGTATGTAGGTAGTACTAGCTCGCTGGCAAACAGTAAGTAGGCTGCAGATTTTACAATTGGAAATTTTACTTCCATTATATCCCAAGGAAATTTAATTTATCTAAGATTAGCTGTAATAATTTAGTAATTATAATTGCAAATTAATTCCTTTTCAGGTACCGTTTTGCAGGTACTTTTTGCATTGTCTGCCATTTTGAATACAGTGTAATTCATGCTTAAGTCGGCTAATAATGTGATTAGTTTAATATGTAATTAAATCACTTCGTGAAACAGATTTTTAAGTATGATTAACTAATCATAATTACGGAATGATTAGTGATTTCATTATAATTAAAGTTAATCACACTTTGTGACACCGGCCCCAGGTTTCTTATGCACCGCAGCTGTACACACATCCGTGCTCTCACGCACTGTCTTATTGGTCCCAAAGTTCACCCACCAATGTTTGATAGGGCTTGGGCACTGGCGTTTTGCTGGTCAGCTTACAGCCACATGGTGATATATTTCACAGCGATTTGCCGGCACACATAACTTAAGGATCTCTGGTTTTTGTGCGTACGGTATGCTGATAATTACATGTATTCGTAGCACCTGTAAATGTCAGATCATGTTCTTTTAAGTCCAGCGCGCCACTTACGAACGATTTATGCAAATGTTATCACATGAAATTTTTTCCGTGAATAGAGAAGCACCGGGAAATAAGGTTGCCTATTAACTGAGTTGTGACTACAGCGAGCAATTGCTGGTTTAGTGAGGCAGAAGAAGATTTGCTGGCATGGCCGTGGATGAAGAGTCTGGCAAGGTGAAAGGTGAAGCATTGTTGCATTGCCATACAATCACACAACACAACAGCTGTTGTTTGTATACCAATTAGAACTAATGGGTTTTCCTTGGGTTTTGCTTGTGGATTTATTGCAGGCGTGCGTACCTGATGGAAGTTTGGAAGCAAAGCTCGGAGCCCCTGTTCCATCCCACAGTGATGTGGTGAGCATTAAACTTATAGTTGTCTAGTCTGTTCCTGCCAGAAGACCTAAGCTGCTTGGTTACGGTTACTAGCCCCTTTTTATGAGCTGAGTCTTTTTCTAATGGCAAGGGACGTACACTTCATGCAGGATGTGTTAATGTCTGTGAAAATCATGATCTTAACTGTTTGTAATTCAACTGAACAACTATTAAACTATTATGGTACATTATTATGTATTATTGTATATACATATATACATACACAATAATATTAAGTCGCGGTTTTCATGAATCTAACTACGATGTTAATGGGGGAATCGGTGTATATACACATAGATATACGTATATATATATACGTACATATATATACGTACCTATATATACGTACATATATATACGTACATATATATACGTATATATATATACGTACATATATATATATGTATACATATACATATATAGATATATCATATGATACATTGCTATCTATAAGTATGTATTATTATTACGCAATATGCAGGGTCCGATCAGCCAATACATGGTCGACAGATATGGCTTCCATCCGAAATGTCGTGTTATTGCATTCACCGGTGATAATCCAGGTGCGATGTGTGTTTGAGCTGCTCACCTGCATATGTCTCACGTTCATTGATAGACTAACAATCATCGTCATCGCCATTAGATGTATCCGGTAGTCAAGCTTAGTTAGATTCATATAGCTAGTAAAAATTGAAAGCATATGTTACTACAGCTGCCATAGTTTCTGTTAGACGGGCAGAGTTTAGTACCTATGGGTAGTAAAACAGTAAAAACAGAGTATGTTTGACTAGTTGCCATGGTTTCTGTCATCTGCAGCCTCTCTGGCAGGACTGTTGTCGGGGAATCGTGACATCATACTTTCTCTTGGGACCAGTGACACGGTGTTTGCTAGCCTGGACAAGCCGAACCCGCATGAATCCTGCTCGGCAATTTTGGTGAATCCAACCAATCAGTACACCTACATGGGCATGCTCGTGTAAGTGTTATTAGTAAAATTGTGGTTTCTCTTGGCTTCATTTAAATTTACGCGTATGTCTTCTTCCTCCTCCTCTTCCCCCTCCTCCTCCTCCTCCTCCTCCTCCTCCTCTTCTTCTTCTTTGTCTTTATTGTCGTTGTCTTCATCTTCTTTGTAATCATTGTTGACATCTTGTTTTTCTTATTTTTTCTTCTTCTTCGTCAATTTCATTATCATCATCCCCATCTTCTTCTACTTCTGCTGCTTCATGTTTTTCATATTTTTTAAGAGGGTTACCTGGCACTAGGTGCATGCAGGAATGCACATGGAATTATCATACCCTGATGCGATGTATATTGGAATGTGAAGGCGGGAGCCCTTAGCTAGACCCTATGGTACGCAGTTTAACCCACGCCAGCTGTGCGGTCATCAGCAGGGGATTATAACAGGCTGACTTGCCTTCCTAGAATACCCGCATCGGCCGTTAACGCTCACCGTGTGCTCCTTTGATTTAAGATGGAAGAACGGGTCGTTGACGAGGGAGAAGATCAGAGACAGTTGTGCTGAAGGATCATGGGATACATTCGACCGTCTTCTGAAATCGACCCCAGCAGGAAACAATGGCCACATCGGTATGTACGAGATATACGCTGGGTCCTACATACTAGTCTACATACTCCTAAGACTACATACAACTACTAATTACTACTACCATGGTACTACTAGTCTATTACATATAAAGTCATAGTACATACTCCTACTACATATTTGTCTATGTAGTCATAATACATACTACTACCAAATACTATTATATAAAGTCTTACTATATTATATACTACTACTACATATTAGTATATGTAGTCATATTATATACTACTACTACATACTAGTATATGAAGTCATACTACATACTACTACTACATATTAGTATATTATGTAGTCATACTATATACAACTACTACATACTATTATATGAAGTCTTACTATATACTACTTCTACATATTAGTATATGTAGTCATGCTACATACTACTACTACATATTAGTATATGTAGTCGTACTATGTACTACTACTACATATGAATATTTGTACTACTACTACATATGAATATTTGTACTAATACTAGTACTACATGCTATTCTTACATACTAGTGTACATACTCGTACTACATACAACTATTGCTACGTAATAGTATATGTAGCCATGTTAGAGGCTACTCGATTGCATGAAGTGGAAAGCCTTGGTTCTATTGCCACGTTTGTTGTTGGTAGAGGGCGCAAGAGAGTCATTCACTTGTCGTGCGCCGTGTTTCACCCCACGTTGTCGTTGTTGCAGGCATTTACTTTGATGAGCAAGAGATTACACCGTGTGCCAACGGCGTGTACAGGTTCAACAACCAGAATGCACTTGTAAGCTACTTTTTTCTCACGTTTGCTTCATCACAATTAGATTCAGATGTGATATCTTCTTTGCAAGTGAAGAGTAGAAATATCAGTTTAGAGAGATTTTTTTCTGTGTGGGAATGACACGTATTCATTCACTAGAGTAGCATTCTCGTGTTTTCGACTCACTTGTGATAGCGAATTCTCTTGAATTTTGTATAAAAAAAATTCAGAAATTCGAAATTTTTGTCGCCGTTTCAGGTTTACGGTTTTTCCGCCGAGGTTGAGGTCAGAGCGGTCATTGAAGGACAGATGCTGGCCAGACTGTCTTACTGTGGAGACCTGGGAGTAGAGATACGTACGTATACCGACTATAATGATAGATAGTGTAAGAATGAATTCACTATGACACACGCGATAGTAGTGCAATGTTTATGTAATCGTGTCGTGTAGAAAATATATAGAGTGTAATATACTGCTTGTACATATAGCATCTCTTAGATCGATACGCTCTTTAACTCGTCTTCGAATGTTAATCAACAGGTGATGACACGAAGATCATAGTGACAGGTGGTGCCTCGTCTAATGAAGCCATACTACAGGTGAGTGGAAGCGATGAGGAGCGAAAATTCTTCGAACGGTTGAAATGGTGTCTGGCTGCGTGGGATGCACCCACGCAGATAGCGATTGTGGCCTTTCATTTCCACTTCATGACCCCAAGCCTATGCAGTGACGTTGTAAGCATCTCGCATGAGACAGAATATCCAGCGAAGAAAAGGGGCCCGCGTGAATCGGAGAACATTAAATTACGAGCTACGAACAAACTAGAAACGTGACTTCGGCGTACCGGATCTTGGTGATAAACGCAGGATACAATTTCGGAACAGCACGAAGAAGGACGCCAGAACAGGCAGTCACAGGAGA